CGCCCCAGTTTGGGCGCCCGGGTTTGGGCGCCCGAGTTTGGGCACCCCGAGTTTGGGCACCCTGCGAGCAACGGGGTGCCCGAGCCAAGGTTCCCCAACTTGCCCAAGCCAAAGCGCGGGTGCCCAAGCCGTTTATTGCATTTCGCCTCGATCAGGTCGGGCCATTGGCTCGCACACCTCGGCCCGGGCAGCCCAGGGGTGCCCGAACTGGCGCCGGGAGGCGCGCTGCCCGATCTCTGCATGGTGCCAGCACCTTGCCCCCAACAAACGGCCAAAACGCGGCGGGCTGCATTTGGCTGTCAGCGCGCAGGGCAGGCCCTTAACGCGGCGGGCTCCACTGGAACTGCCCGACAGCAAGCGCAAAACGCGGCGGGCTGGACTTAGCTTTGCCTGCGCGCCGGGCCCGCGGCCCGCCAGCCGCCAGCCTGCCTGCTCCACTTTCCAGCCCCCGCGCTTGGACGCAAGCGCCCTGATGCAGTGGACTTGCAGGTGCTTGGCACCCGGCCCGCCCCAGGGTCCCGGTCCTGGGGATTTTCCTGCTGCTTGCCGCTTCTTGCGCCAGCTCGCCGGGCAGACAGCCGCGCAGGAAATTACACACGAGCGCAGGCAACAGCAGCGAAATGAAGAAAGGATCCCATTTCTACCGCTTTAAGACTGGCTGGCTCGGGGGCCCCAGGGCCTTGGATTCAGGGGCCCAGGCTAAAGGGGCACAGGGGCCCCAAAAGACGCACTGAGACACACGCAATTTCTCTGAGCACGTGCCAATGTCCAGGAGCAGCAGGGCAGTTTTATTTTGGGAAGCTTCGTGTGCCTTTTCTGAGGGGCTAAGAGCGGGTTGACTTTTGCTTCCGCTTGCAATTATCCTGTCATCTCAAAGGCCGCATTGTTTCTGACTCCCAGAGTTCTTCAGTGTACTGGTTTAGACTGGGCAGAAGGGCCAATAAATAACGCCTCTGAAGCTCGAGAATACAAAGCAGGGAAAGCAACAACTTTCAGGGAATATGCGCAACACCATGGAGCAATGACCGAGCCAGCGAAGCTTTCGCTCTGCAGTTTGGCCGACTTCGCAGATTGGAGCGCGCAAAAGCTGGCGTATGAGAAGGACGTCGTCTTAGGCCGCGGCGCTTTTGCAACAGTTCATCGCGCAAGCAAGTCGGGGTGGCCCTGCGCCCTGAAAAGCTATGTTTTGGTCCCGAGCGAGCAGCGTCGGGCGGTCATGGAATTGAGTGTGCTGGCTGCGAAGTTGCCCAACATACTGACATGTCACGGTGCCTACAAGGAAGAGCTTTTTAGGGATGGGGAGAGTCTGACAAAGTTCGTCTTCGTTCTGGAAGCTTGCCCCATGACACTGCGCCAGCTGATGCTCTCGCAGAGGTTGGTGCCCAGAAATCGCACCCGTTATTTCCAGGATTTTTCGCAACCTGAAGCTTTCGGGGCCTTCAGGCTTCCACGAGCGTTTGGGAACTTTCTTGCCTGCGGGTTGTGGCTTTCTTTGGTTTCTTGCAGCCTCAGAGCCCCAAGCTTGAAGCCTTTCCTAGGCGGCCTGAGCCCACAGCTGTTGAGGCGGCAACTGAAAGCTTATCAAGCGATAGATCTTTGAGAGTGGAGAAATGGTTTTGCAAGACACAATTTAAGGAGCCCCACAGCGCAAGAATGCGAATCAGCATGCTTCCCAAAGGCTGAGCTTGGATTGGAGGCGACACATCCTCGGCAAGGTCACAGCAGCTCTTGGCAGCTTGAGGGCGCGGAGCATCATTCATGGCGACCTGAAGCCGAATAACATTTTGTTAACGACCGCAGACGCGGGCCTGAGCATGGTGCCGAAGGTATGTGATTTCGGGAGCGCGCAGTTATTGCCAGCAGGGCAAGCCTATCTGCAAGCAGACTTTTGCGAAACTACGTATCAGGTGGCACCGCCCGAAGTTCTGCAGAGCTTCCATTATTACATGTCTTGTGATTTGTGGAGTCTCGGCATCATTGCGCAGTGCATGGAGCTTGCTGTGGATTGGCCATGGTCAGCCCCGCCACTACAGACTCAGGAGGGCGAGCCGCCTACAAAAGAATGGCTCCTTGCCGCTGCACGGGCGGCGAGAGAGCACGCTGACAGGGTGGCCTTTCAGGATGACGATGCAGACGGCTCAATTCTCCAAGGCCTATTGCTCTGAAAGCTGGCTTCATGCTCGCTGGCTTTTGCTGCACTCTGCGTAGAGCCCCCTGCCCGAAACCTGGAATCCCGAACCCGAGACCCTGTCACAAATGGGCAGCCTGGCCTCCAACTGGTTGAGGTTTACTTAACAGTGGTCAGGGCTTCTGCCTGGCGCGAAGGACTTCTTCACGTGGACCCAGCGCAGCGGCGCATGCCAACGTTCTGGAAGGAGCCAAAGAGTACAGGAATCCCCGGCTGCACGCGCGTCCTGCTTCTGTGTTTTGGTTGTCTTCGCGCTTTGCAAAAGCAGGTTGACCCCAGGACATTTAATTAGGGTCATATTCTTTTTGCCCAGAGACCCCGGAATGCCGATTGGGCGACCCGGCAAGGGTAGAAATTTGAAGTTTCTCAGTCAGACGTGACCCTACTCTAGAATCACTCGAGGAGGATCTGCGCAGCAAGCGCCGCCAGAGTTACATGCACCACGCTTACCTGTGGCAGCCCTTGACAGGTGCGCAAGCACAGGACAGCTTGGGATGTTGATAGATTTTCGGGGTGCTTTGTGGCATTTGCATCTGCCTGCCCCAAGAAAAATGATCTGTTTTCTTCGCTTTGTTCGTGCCAAGCCTGGAGGGAAATACCATTTCCGTAGTTTTGCACCTGCGTGGTAGAGCCCCTTTTTGAAAGGACCCAGAGTGGAAGCGCCGCAACAGGCGCATCCAGCGGCCAGAGCGGTGGGGCGACGACTCCGCAGGAAGACGCAGGATGACAAGACTCGCTTCCACGTCGTGCCGGAGGATCCGGCGCATTTCGTGGACGTGGAAATGCGTGCCAATGACAGCCTTCTGGCTGTCGAGCTCTTGCACTCGTCGTGCTTTTGCATTCGAGTTTCAAAGCCATGTTCTGATTTAGGCGAACTCATTCCCAGGATATCGAGTTGGGCTGCTTGCGACTGTAACGCCGGGATCCCAAGGCCCCAGGACACAGAGATGTAGCGCTGAGGCAGGCTGAAAAATTGGCATCGCCACCACTGAGTTTGATTGGAGTCGAATGAAGTACTGGCAAAGTTCTTGATTTTGCGAAGCTTGAGCGAGCAATCCAGCTGCCCTTATCACCGCTCGGAGTGCGCGCGCACTATGCGCACTGTACACACATGCCCTGCTGCGCGAACCTGCGCCAAATGCCCAGCCCAAAGACACGCTGGCCAGGCCGAGATGTGCGATGCCACAGCTGTGCGAAGGCACCGTGCCCGAGGCGATTCTGGCGGCTCGGCCAGGTGCGCTCAGGTCCTTTGCCCGAAGAGTTGTTCCAAGTCGAATCTATTCAAAGTTTGTTTAAAGGGTTCAGAGGTACTTGGTTTTTAGCTTATCGGAATTTGGGCGTCCCCTGAACGTAGGGCTTTGTGTTCAGGTTATAGGGTGTTTGGGGGTTATTGCAGTTCCTTTTCCTTCTGTGCAGGTTATGTGTCTGTGGCGGTATACTTTACTCCGATGGTCGTTTCAGATGGTCGCTATAATCCGTTATGGGTTTATGATTTTTAACTGAAACGTCAATGCTAACTCTAAGAAGAAGTTAGACTTTGGAAAAGTTGGTCGCACTAGCACTGTCCCATTTTCTTGAACATGACGTGCACTTCCGCTTTTTCTGGAGGAAGTGCGGTGCCTCTCTGAACTCAGTAGATAAGACAATACGTAGTCTTGTAAAGAGGGGCTTGCTCATTTTGGTCTCCGCCGCCCTTGGGTACCCCTGAGGGCATCCCAATGGTTGTGTAGGGTTTTGCTTAGCAGGCTTTAGGGATTAGGGTGTAGGGTCTAGAGGGTGCCGCAAAATGGACCACCTCGATTCGTTTCTGCCATCGCGCGGGTCTACATCGGACGACCTTGTTTCTCAGCTTAGGGTTTACCCATAGGCCCTGAAGTAGTTCCTTTTTGGGGTTCATATTACTAATATTTAGAATCCTATTAGGGAATCCCAAAAGGGAACTACTATGGGGCCTATAGGTCGGGTCCCAACCTCAACCCTAAACCCTAAACCGTTCCCAGCAGCAACAGCAGCAGCAACAGCGACAACCAAGTTTGGAACCGTTCGCCAGGGGGCCTCAACCCTGATCCCCTTAGTTCTGGAGCACACCACTTTAGGGATTAGGGTTTAGGGTTTAGGGTTTAGGGTTGAGGGCACACTCAGGAATCCAAGGCCCTAAACTGACGCCCGAAACGCAAGCAGCGACAAGTTCCTGTCGAACAGGAGACAATGGAGGAGGCTGCGAGAGCAGCATCTCAAATCGAGATGAAGTGCGTGGCCAGGCTTAACATGGATTTATCATGTAGGGTGAGTTGTTTCAAGGCTTTTCGGGTGTGTTACATAAGGTTTAGGGCTTATAGGGCTTAGGGTTTAGTTTAGGGTCTAGGGCTTTGGTATTTAGGTTCTGAGATTGTCTTACACCGGTCCCTAAAAGTGACCCTCATTTAGAGAGCTACCCACATGGTTTAGGGTTTAGGTTCAGGGTTTAGTGCGTTGGTGTGTTTGGGTTGAAGCTCGCATGATCGGTAAGATTTTCCTCTCATAAACCTAGTATAAATACCCTGACACACCCCAGCGTTCTAAAATCTACACACTAAAACTAAAACCCTTCCCCCTATATTACCCTTGGGCTCGGATGGGTTTTCAATTCCACAGGTTCAGAGCGTCAGGAGCTGCCAGGGGATGTGGCTTCTATATAGCGTTTCGGGTTTTGGGGTTAGGGTTTATTTCGGAGTTTGGTTCTAAGTTTGGGTTGATGGTGTAGGGGTTTGGGCCTTAAGGCTTTAAGGGTTCATTTCGTTTCTGGGAGCTTGTTCAGCCTTGAACCCCTGTTTCCGGAAGCCTAAGCGGTTTAGAGTCCTACATCTCTAGGTATAGGGCTTGCTATAGAAGGGCTACTATAAAGGCTTTTAGGAGTCCTTACATCCTGCTCAGGAATGCGAGCTTCCGAACGAATTCCTCTACACTTTTGCAACTTGCCTGTCGCTTCTGGGGTTGGGCGTCGGATTTCTAGGGCGGGTCAAAACTAAACCCCTAAACCCTAAACCCTAAACGACAGAAAACAAAAGGGCCCCAGGAAAAAGCAGCCGGTGATGAGGTCTGAAAAGTGTACAGAGGAGACTTCTGATATTTTCCTCTGTGCCAGGGTTATGAAGGAATACCTACCACTACTCACTGCTACCTACCCGTACATCATGGAACATGGGGGAAGTTACGAATTCATCGCAGTTTCAAGGAGTTCTCGGGGGATGCAGGTTGGCTGCTTGCTGTGCCAGGTTTCATAGTATCGAGGCTTTGGGCTTTGAGGAGTTGGTGGAGTTCCGACCAAATTCCTGAATTCTGATCCCTGAACCCCTAATCCCTAACCCTAAACCCTAAACGCAGGAACCCTGAAGCCTAAGCCGTAGACCCTTGAGCCGTAAACCCTGAACCCGAAACACTAAACCCTGAACCCTCAACCCGGAACCCTAAGCCCTAAACCCCGAAACCCTGAAGCACAAGACACCTAAAGTTAGAAGTATGGGGAATCCTACAGAATTATCTGTATCGATAAAAAGTATCTCAACAAGGACCTCAAACAATACCATCGAGACAGAGCCGAGATGCGCCTAATATGGACCCTTAGGCCTTTCTAGGGACCCTTAAGGGTACATATACGGTATATATTAGGTGTATAAGGATCCCAGGGTCAAGGGCCCATACTAGGGGCCCGTGGGTTGAACCGTAGAAGACACCGGAGTTTCGACGGAAGAAGCGCCAAACCCGTGGCTTCCGGGGCCTGGGGAGGGACACTGAGCTTTACGTCGAAGCCGGTTCTTGAAGTCTCCGTGGGTTTGAGGAATTTGGCCTAAACTTAGCGTTTATAAATGGGTTGAGGGTTTGGGGTTTAGGGTTTAGGGGTTGTGGGAGTAGAAGAGGAATCTCTTTGAGGACCCTAACACCCAGGTCTGCGATGCAGGCTCCATCCGTCACCCGTGCAGGAACTGCCGGACTTGGTGATGGAAACCACGTAGTAATTTTGTGTTGAGCGTACTCTCGAGTTATTCAGGGCTTTGCGGGTGTAGGGTTTGGGGTGCAGGTATGTTCCACTGCGTAGTTACTAGTTATGAAGGCATCTATGTACAATCGTTTACTAAAGAGGAACCTATAGTGTGGATCTGATACCCTAAACCCTAAACCCGAAACCCTAAACCCTAAGCCCTAAACCCTAAACCCTAAACCCTATGGTGTATCACTTATTGGGACCCCAGGTGAGTCCCCTGATACTTACGCAATCCGAAATCCCAGACCCTAAACCCCAAAACCTTAAGCTCCAAACCTTAAGACAGGCCGGGTGCGAGAGTCAAAGGCCCATTGCATTTTTGGTTAAAAAACCTAAACCCCAAACCCCTAAACCCTACACCCTAAACCCCTAAACCCTAAACCCCAAACCTAACGCTTTAAGTCTCCCGATACTTGAGACGAGGCCGGCAACCTCAAGGCCAGCAGCGAAGGTGCAGCCTCCGGGGGGTTTGGATGTCTAGGGCTTAAGGGTTTAGGGTTTAGGGTTTAGGGTTTAGGGTATAAGGGTTTAGGGTTCAGGGTTTAGGGTTTAAGGTTTAAGGGCTTAGGGTTTAGGGTCTAGGGTTTAGGGTTTAGGGTATAAGGGCTTATAAGGGTGTAGGGTTTAAGGTTTAAGGGCTTAAGGGGTTTAGGGTTTAGGGTTTAGGGTATAAGGGTTTA